AGAAACAATTCAAGTTTAAAACTGAATTGATATTTTTACTATCATGATAAATTTTATGCACTTGGCTCTAGGCTAGGTGATCCCCACTATGTCTTTACTTTAGGCTTATTCACCAACACTCACTACACTTACAAGGTTTCATGGCAACCCCCCTCACAGCTTTCTTGTACCCCATCACTAAAACCATAATGGGCACACAGTAATCAAACTATTCTATCTGGTTAATGCATTTTGGCTTTTATGACTCCTCCTATTTTGAGAAATGAAGCATGTTGTGACACACACACTGGCTTTTATGTAATTTAGATTTTGAAATAACATCAAATTATAGATTAATCTATCAATATTACAGAATTCCACTGTAACTTATCAGGCTTACTAACTAAAAAAAGTTTTTCAAACAACATTTTCACTTACTCCTTCCTTCTGAGATTCAACACAAGAGAAATAATCTTGGGAACTTCCTTCAAGATGTATAAAAAATCACATAGGGGAAAGTCTGAGCTTTTGATTGGTTATAAACACATAATAGAGCAAAGCAGGCATACATAAGGAAATATTTTCAAAAATGGAAGAGGTGGGTGGGGTCACTGTGTTTAATTCACTAAATATAATGATATCTCAGCAAATAAAAAAGACGGGAGGTTCTTATTTTATATTCTAACTTGTCAATATCGGTAATTTGAATTTCTAATTCGTAAGAAACTACAGACTGTACTTGAACATCAAACATCTAATATGAACCAAAGCTGCATTCAACATACCATATGGCACATAAAAATCAATATTTAGGACATTTTTCTTAATATTTACTTTTAAATTATCTAATGTATAATACTAAAATTTGAATTATAATCTACAATTTGATACCAAATTTATTGACGCACATTCATAAAATTAGTCGTTTAATAAAATTTTGAATGCAAGTCTATAAACTTGATGACATGCCCTTTGACCTGTGACCATAGGAAAACCTAGAGCAATAGGGTTAAACACATTTCAGTTTGAACCTTGGATCTTACAATTTACTGCCATGCAAGATAACCACTAGGCTATGCCCAGCCCTAATCAGCAACAGAGAAAACAACCAATTGTAAAGTAAAATGTATTCTATAGAGTAGCTGTGCCAAGCCAAAGGTTGAATGTTTGAATATCATGTGAATATACCAATGCATAACTGACCAAACCAGATATGGATTTTTCAATCAAAAACTGTCATGGATAGATAATACAATGTCATGCTGAGCCAAAAGCAAACCTCAAAATAACTTTGGCTTGGGAGAAAATGCATTCCGAGACTTCAAGTACACATTTGTTTTCAAACTTAATATGTTGAACTGTTGAAACTGGAATCATGATAGATTATTTTTCAAGTCTAAGAGCCATCTATTAATCCAAAACTACAGTTAAGAGCCTATTGCAACACAGCATCTTTTCCATGTCTACTATTATTCCAGGATGTTTGCTTAAATCCAAAATAATATAAAATATAAGAGAATATAAAATATTATTTTGAGTAGTTGTGCAAAGTTGAAACACTGCATTTCAATAATACATAAAAATTAATGACAAACTGATTATGTTTTTTCAAATATTTATATATATATATTTTCTAAAAAACACTAATAAAAAAGTAATGATATAGAGACAAAATTTCAGGAACCAACACAACCACGTTTGAGACGCTAGAATCAGAAAACATACAGGTGTAGTTCTGTCAGTTATGAGGTTTTCCAAAGATATGTCTGAACTAGTTTTGACAAACTATTCTATACTGCTAGTCTAGACACTGAGTCTTTATATACATACTTATTATTAAATGAAGTAATAAAGTTACATAGTAATTTAAGTTTTCAAAATTCTGATGTGGTTAGGGGTATAACTAAACCTGTTTTTATTAAATTATTAGAATCAGTCATCCAAAAGAGTTAATTTGTTTTTCAATTTCTATCATTATGAACAACTTCATGAGATGTCTATGTGTTCAAGGGTTGCACCAGGTTTAGCAATTTTGTTTTTAAGTCATTATGAAAAAAGGTGATTAGAAAATTGTCCTTAACAGATTAAACCTTTATACAACAGAAAATATGTTGATGATACATTTGTAGTTTTTAGAAATAAATTTGATATTCAGGAATTCCAAAATTACTTAACCAGTCAACATAACATTATTAAATTTACAACAGAAGAACAAACTATTAATACTTTAAATTTTTTAGATACCAAAATAGTTAACTTGGGTACAAGTTGAGACAAAGCGTTATCATAAACTAACATTTAGTGTGCAATATTTTTATTTTGACAGTTTTTAATTTTTGTTTTTAGGAAGAACTTATTTTATAATTTAACTCATTGGGCCTATAATACAGTTAGTTCCTTTTCTGGATTCCATGAAGAAATACAAAATATATATATATATAAAGTTTTTTACAAAAAAAATAGTTTTCCTGTAGTTAACTGATAGTACTAAGAATTATTTAAACCCTCTGTATGTTTCTAAAATCATTAAACATGTTGAAACTAAAGAAATAGTTTATTGTGTTCTACTTCTAACTGACAAACATGCAATAGAATTAAAGAAAAAAGATTCAAGCAATTTTCAATAACACAATTTATCCATAAATTAAATTTAGAATTGTTTTCAAACCAATATGTTGTATATGTAATTATTTCAAATTTAAAGACAGGATCCCTAAAATACATTGCTCTTATGTCATCTAAAAATTTACATGTCCACAATGTAGCTTGGCTATGTGAACTCTACAATTCATTGTTTGAGCTCAAGAGTCAAAGTGCATCCTGAGTTAAATGTAAGCCAAATATTAAAGAGAGCCTGTGGATACATAAGGTGCATCCTGAGTTAAATATAAACCAAATATTAAAGAGAGCCTGTGGATATACAAGGTGCATCCTGAGGTAAATGTAAACCAAATATTAAAGAGAGCCTTTGGATATACAAGGTGCATCCTGAGTTAAATGTAAGCCAAATATTAAAGAGAGCCTGTGGATACATAAGGTGCATCCTGAGTTAAATGTAAACCAAATAGTAGAGAGCCTGTGAATACATAAGGCACATCCAGAGTTAAATATAAACCAAAAACCATCATTCTTGTTTTAGTCAAAGATAACAGAATAAAAACATCAGTGTTTCAATAACTAGTAGGAAGTGGAATATATCTCATTTCACTATTTAGATCAATTCACAAGTGAAGTAAGACAAAAACAAAGGCACAGCAACCATGATAACTGTCAAAACACAAGACACAAAGAATCAGGCATGTGGCAGTTACAGTGAAGAATTCTGAAGTGTTATCAGGACACAAAAAACTGTCTAGACAAGAAATATGGTTGACCTCAATTTCCAGCTTTGGGAATTTGGAAAACCATTATTATGCAGCATGAATTAGGGACATATGCTACAAAATAAACATATTACAAAGGAAAAAAGGGAGTCACACTGAGAATCCAATTGTGATGTAATCGCTTTCCAGCATAAGGAGAGAGAGAGGGCAGGCTCAAAAATACAAAAAGGCACTACACCTGAGTAAAAATAAAATAATCTAGCAGAGATAACAGAAGTTGGATATTAACTTGATCCTTACTTGAGAACTGTGTGGAGTATTGATTGAAAATTCACCTATGAGTGAGAAGAAATTAGGTTGAAGATCATACTAATGAGAGAATGTAACCAAATTGGAGACAACTAGATCACCCTAAGACTGAAACAAAATGTCATCTCAAAACAATCTGTGAATCACATTACCCAACATGATCATTTGTATAAATTAAAGAGACAACTATTCAATTAGAACCAAAACCAAGCTATATGCTCAAGATCCAAGCTTTTAATCCAGTTATAAGGAACATGTCACATGAAAAAAGAACAAAAAAAACAGCAATAAACAAACAAGTTCACAAACATAAATATTTCTAGTGAACCAAATGGATGAATTAGCATTAAAACACTCATACAGTACCAACAAGTTCCCAGTCAATTACCAAACTTCTCTCTATTTAATTAAGTATGTAAAGAATTTGAAACTGGCAGGTTTAATTTAATCTCGCCCTTTCCACAGATCTAAACATGGTAACCAAAAGACAGCTACAATGAGGGAATCTATAAAAGCTGGTTTCCCATTATGTATGGGGAAATGATTGTTTGTTTGAGAGCAAAGCCACATTGGTCAATCTACAGTGTCAACTATGGAGAATCAAACTCCAAATTTTTGTGTTGTAAGTCCATAAACTTGCAGATGTTCCACTGGGGAACATGTATAGGGTATGCAGACAATTTGGTTATTAAAGAAAAAGATCTGCCCTGACCTTATAAAAAAAATGGAAAGAACTTATAAGTTTAGTAAAATGAAAGGTCAGACTTGAAGAATCAAGACCTTGATGGTTTCTCTATATACAACTTGAAAAACAAGTTAGTAGGGAAAGTTTTTCGAACTGTATATGCTTACAAGCATTTCTACTGAACACTAAAAAAATCTGAAGTGGGAAATAAACCTGTTTCATGCATCAGAGGCATAAGTTGGCAAACACAAAAAGTACAGCTGCATTCAATCAGTTAGAAATCGAAAGCTTCAGCAAAATAACCTAAGAACAATAATAAAAAAAAATCCTCAGGGATGACACATCCAAAAAATTTATATATTTTAATATTTAATTTTACAGGTAATAGATGCACATTATAAGTACAAGAAACAGTTTACCTTTAAGTATATCTAAACAGATTCTTCCTAATTTGTCTATGTTGGGATGGTAGATTTTTGTCATAAATCGGACTTTAGGAGCTGACATTGGGTATTCCTCAGGAAGAAATAGTTCCAACTTAAAAACTCCTCCTTCAAATGGTGACTAGAGAAGAAACAATGTCAAAAATCAGACATGCAAAAAGTTTTCTGAACAGCTTATGAATGAGACAAAGCCATATATTTTAGTCTTAGGTTTAAACAAGAAATGCATTTTATTCTTTATTAAAAATCAATTGAGCATCAATATAAAAACAAACATTTCCTAACAATACGTAGTCTGAGAAATTTAATAGAAAAAAAAAGTTTCATCAGTAATGGAAAGATACTGATTGTTAGTTGTGTATATTTGTCACTGAAATAAAAATCCCAGGTTTGAATCTGTACAATAAATTTAGTTGTTTTACTACTCATGTAATGTTTTGTTTGCTTCATACCAAACCAAGCAATGTCATTAAAAGTAAATGTCCTTTACAGCAGCAGTTCCCAACTGTCATTCCACGTGGAGATTTCAGCCAGTCTCATGTGTTTAAAACATTGTTTTACAATGTAATATGAAAGTAATTTTAAAAAGTAAATATTGTACGAAATGGCTGATGAAATTTTGGGATCAAGACTAGTTGATTCAAGTTGAAAAAAAAAGTTGGGAAACACTACTTCATAGTACAAATATGTTTTGTTACAGCAACTATAAAAGAAAAATCTGTCAATATTAAGAGCTATGATATATCTTATCTCTCAAGATGCAGACAGAAAATAATTCATTTATATTTTTTAATTTCATCATAAAGTAACTACATTAACATATAGTATTTCAAATATTAATATTTTATTTTGCAATAAAAGTCTAATGGGCATGAATAGAAGACTCTAACCTGACTTTTTCAATTTCCACCTACCATTTCATTTTAACCAGTTTTTTTATCTTGCATATAAATCTTTTAACTATTTAGATACATATGCAAACTCAAAAAGTTACAAGTATAAACTTGAAATTACGTAAAGATAACACATACTCCTTCTGGTCCAGCAACAACTACATGAAAATATCTGGCATTACTCTCATCGGGAGTTGCACTAATTCCAGGAACAGGCTCTGCCATTAATCTCTGGGTCTCCTGTGTACATTTAGAAAAAATATCATATATAAATATACATTGATGGTTATAATGTTCATTACAAGTTGTTTTGAAAACAATACTTTGATTCACCATTTTTTGTCTGTTAATACTGATATATGTGCATTCACAAATATAGGTCTGATTAAAAAATGTAATGAACTTGTGTAATATAAGCTTAAACGTAGAACAAAAATGTCATACATTTAAATGTGTTTAAGCATTGACCTTTTGAAGATCTACACAATTTAATGGAAACATTTTCTTGTAATTTTTTGCTGTTCATGTAGAAAAAGGGTCCAAAATAACAGTAATAAAGCAATAAACTTGAAAGAAAGCAAATGTGAAAATGTTAGAAGTTAGGATAAATAATTGTAATTGTCTGTAACAACCTGCAATCATCCCAGAAAAGCTATTCATTTTATTTTACATTTTTCAACTTTTCATTTCATTGTTTATTGATGATTTCACTACTGTTAGGGTAGAGAAAATAATAGATATGGTACAGTTTTACCAAAGGAAAATAAATAAAAAACTTTTGATATTCATTTACAAGATTCTATAGGTTATGAAAACAAAGCATGAAAGTGTAAGATGAAAAGTAGTACTTTTACTCTTAGCATGAAAATCACCTTGCATTTAGATTGACTCATACAGACTCCTGAAATTCACAGACAAATCTTGAGTAGAAATACATTATTAAAAATTGTTTTTTATGTACAGCAGTGTAGTGGTATTTATTAGGAGATTTACAAATTTTGTGAAGACACATATAGCTAATTTATAATTACACTAAACCTTACTATGTATGGCTTCACAGTTACAGCATCAATCCACTGAACTGATGTCATACACATGGGATCAATACCATTAAGAAACTTTACCTCCATAAAATCACAAGGCCTAGGAATAATTATAATATTAAGATGCATTTGTTTCTCAAGTGTTCTTTGAATTTTCATTGCATGTTTTTTGCATTTCTGGCTTGTAAAAAAATAAATAGTTAAGTCTATTAACAGTATCCATCCACAAGTTACCAAGACACTCCTGTCTCTCTCTAGTTTTACTGAGTTACTGTCTTCATCCTCACTTGATATATAATCCTTCATTAATTTTTCTTCCTGATTTCTGCTAGCTTCACATTCATAATAGTGCTTGTAGTCAAGTTACTCTTCACTATCAATCCACTTTGTTGCCTTTTCTTTGTCGCATTTAAGATACAAAAGTTTAGAGGAATTACTGTTATACACTGTGTATATTAGAGAAGTACAGTAATGAGGGAGACAGATCAGGGTGCCGAATGCTGAGAAAAGGCTAAAGCCTTAATCCATGTATTTGTTAATGGTACTTAGAGCTAACTGGAGTAAGAAATTTATTGATATAGTTTGGTTTACTGTTGTTTAAGACTATTAACACAGAAAACATTTAGGATTTTAGAAAGACCTCAGCTTTTATCTTACTGAAGTATGTACTCGATACAATAAATTTAGGTTATGAAGTGAAGCCTCAGAAGTTCTCTTATTTTTTGATGTTCAATAAATTAAACATTATTGTAATCTAATGCTTAAACTTGAGGAGAGCAATTAATTAAGTTTGTAAAGGTTCTTCTGAGCCCTAAGAAGAAAAAAAAAAGGAATGAGGTCATGTTCATTTCAAGTAAACCTGATCTTTTGATATTTGGAATTAACTGTTGTAAAAGCAATGCAGTGATAAGCAATATTTAATGTTGTATTCAGTTTTAAACTTGACTTTTAGGATATTTTAATTTTAAGAAAAGTTCATCAACAGTGTGTCTTCAAAATTATTTTTTTGTATAAAAGTACAAAATCAGTTCCTTTTATTATGTACATGCATAGAATTAAATGCTAGTATATTTAACATTAGTTTTCTTCAGCAATGATTTTCAATTATAACTCATGAATTTTTACAATTTCTCAATTAAAAAATGCACAAACCATGTCAAAAGCCCAAAGTTCTAATCTTCAAAAAGTCCTGGTTTGCCCAGGGCAAATTAAAACAAAAAAGCTAACCAGACAACTTATTTTTTAAATATGAATGATTGGCACTTGTGAAATGTTTAAAATCAAATAATTAATAAAAATGCAATAATTCATATTTGCACAATTAAAACTTTAATAAATCAGTCAACAGCTTCCATCTAAAACACTATGTCACATTGAGGAGCTATCTAAAAGACAATTTATACTTTCAGCATGTCATGATGTATTATGTTTCAAAGTTATTTTCATAAAAAAATAGATCAACATTTACAACATATTATGCCATATATCGGTACTTTAATATTTATTATATACTCATTAGGTTCCTGTAACCTGTACATTTTAGTTTGACCAATAAAAGCACTACCACATTCTATTTTATATATCCCACTCTTATCTTTTACCCCTATTTTATCTTTGGTATTCCCCAACATTTCCTTTATCTTATTCATGGGTTTAAATATGGAACAAAAGTTTTGTTTCTTAAAAACATTAAATAATTGATCTGTTAATCTTGGAATATATGGTAAACTTAATTTTAACACAGATTTAACATACTATTATTAAATGCTCTATCTACTATATTTGGTGTAAATCCCCTTTCAACCACTTAGTATTTAATTAGCAACAATTCATTACTTAAATCTTCTTGTCTAGAAGATATTTTCAAGACTCTGTAAACATAAGTAAAAAAGGCAGAAAATATTTGTTTGAAATTTAATACCTCATGACATTAAAAAGTATAAATTATGTTTTAAATAACCCGTCAAATTGTGAAAATATGAATAATTGCATTTTACTTATTTATTTCATTTTAAACTTGTTTATATTTTATTTAAGATATTCACTTTCTTCCTTATTAAATGCTCAAATCCTTCTTTCAGTTAGCTCATTTTTTCTGTTTATTTATATTAAAATATTAAGTATCTTCATTCATGAGTAGTTCTTTTGATCAGAACAAATTAGTACCATGAAATACCTAAACACAACGAAAATATAAAAGCTCTTCTAATTATAAACAATCAAAATGATAATAATAATAATCAAATCATTATATTTCATATACTAAGACTACACCAAAAGCCTTGATGTTTGCTGTATCAAACAAAATAAAAATATCCTTTGCAACAGTCAGAAAGCTGTGAATAATTTATGATAGCTATAGTATTTCACCGTTTGTTTTGTTGAATTTCACAAAAAAACTAAATGAGGGCTACCTGCACTAGCCATTTATAATTTAGAAGTTATAGATTAGAGGGAAGGTAGCTTGTCAACACCAACTGCTAATTCTTGGAATATTCTAACTGAATAACAGGATTTACTGTCACATGAAAATGCCCCAAAAGCTGAAACAATGAGCATATTCAGTAATGGGATACAAATCTGTGACTCACAGATTGTGAAATAAGCAAGAACAGCAGACAATAATTTCTGTTAGCTAATCGACTTCTATACTGAAAGTCAGGGGTTCAAAAGGTTATAGAGATCCAATCAACCTATTAAACTTCAAAATTTACCTCCTGAAATTCTCTTAACCTAGATGATAAAACACCAATATGTTATGATATACATTATACAGTACCTATCCTGCAGGGTTGTACAAGTTGACCTTTCTATAAAAGACAAAGTGTGGGGGGGAAAAGGCAGTATAAAACTTTGGAAACATTCTTGTGTCCAAGAATTAATGGTTTATTAAAAGGAGTGAATTTTTGTGTAAACTTGGAGATTAACATTTTGACTTTTAGTATGTAATACCATTTAGCAAGGCCTATCATTCATTGAAATTTAATGTTTTTGCATATTAGCAAAATGCTTCAGTGCATGTTGTTCAGGTTTGTGTTATGCTCAAAGCTAAACAATGGGCTACCTGCACTTGAATAGAAAGGACACATACGGCTGTATACAGTTGGGCAATTAGTGGAATTTAACAGTAGATTACATTGAACTAATCAATTATTCTTGACAAGAATAGGACAGTTAAGTAATTAAAAATAGTAATAATTGGAAACAATAATTTTGACTAGTTGATTATTTTCATGAATTATGACACTAATCAATTAAGCTGAACAATCTTGAATTAAAAATAATAATGAGAAATCACGATAGCCAATATTTTGATTACTTGCTTATTTTATGTGGCACTAATCGATCCTGATAGGTGATCAATATTGTGGATTAATCACGTTAATCAGCAAGTTATATGGTTATGTTTTTTACTTTATGTCTGTTTATTATCAATATATATAAAATCCAAGTGTCGGTCAGTCACGCTCGATTTCTCAGAATTTTGTGAGTGACACAAGTCAAATTCAAATTTTTCTCCTATAATACTTCCTCTTTTGATTGCCCGTTCCCATTTTAGTTGAACATGATTGCTAACAGAGGCATAAATAGCTCTAAATGTTGGCACTTTTTCTGCTATATAAAAGACTGTCAAGGATGGAGGACCAGATCAAGCATGGAGTTGTGTGTGTGACATTATATCATCCACATCATTATGATCTGAATAGGAAAGCTGGAAAAACTCCTGTGAAAAATAATTCAAAAATTATCAAAAATCTATGCTTTTAAATTATTATGAAAAAGCTTTTGTTAAGACAGAATGAAGATACCAATTATCTGTAGGGAAGAGAACAATTTTTCCTCATAAGAAGAACAGGAATGTATGCAATCACATGGTCATTTTAAA